CCCCAAAACCCCAAAACCCCATAAGTTCAATAATATCAGATTTTAAGAGGATTAATAGATTAACACTGAAGACATATACATATTTAAAATCAAAATATTTAATTTGAAAATTTAACTAATCAAATCATGGAGTTAGCTAATTAAAGAGCCAAACAGTCGCATACTATGATGAAATAAGCTAGATCACCTTAAGTGAGGCAAGCTCAGCCTTAAAGACATCCTTCGAATGAAGGTTCACTTTCTAGATAGCAATAGTAGTCAAGTTAGATAGAGAAGAAATACAAAGACTTAAGAAATTCTTACAACGAATTAGACATTGTAAGTTTCATCCTATATTATCATTTCAACATATTGCTATAATGTTATATTGTTTTCCTTCATTCGTACGAATTTGAGTTTATTAAAATATTGGACTGTAGAAATTGAAAAATGAAGTTAGAGAAAAGGAAAATGTGATTAGAGAGAATAGAGATTTGTAGAGGTAGATCAAGAAACTCTAAGAAAAAGTTCAGAGGCTAAAGCATAAGAATGCAAGCCTTATTGATAGATTTAAAGGAGGAAATAATGAACTAGAAGTTATTAGGGAGTAAACAGAGACACTATTCTCTGATGAGCCATAGACAGAAGTGGTGAAGATTTCCTTTATTCCTAAGTTCAGCAAATCAGATGAAAATGTTAATGACTCTTAGGATGTGTAAACTTAAAGAATTATGAATCTCCAGAGATTACAAAGCCAATAGAATAATCTAGGTGCTTAGTTGAGATAGAAGGCAAGTATGAAAGAGAGTTCAGCATAACAATAAGAGAGGAAAGTTGGCAATCCAATTTAGGCAAAGATTGGTAGAATGCGATCCCCAGATATTAAAGCATCTTAGTCTCTTCTTGATCAGCATTAATAGAACTTTATATAGCAATAAAGAGAGAAAATCCCTACAACACCTCATTAGAATGGAAATAATAAGTATAATTAATCAGAGGTAAGCAGCAACTCTAAGGACAACTCTACTGTAGCATCAACTCATAACAAATCTACGGTCAGGAATCCATAGAGTACAGTCCAAAGCTTAAATCAAAGTATAGTAAATGATAATTAAAGTCAGCAAAGCCAAAGGACAAATCTTCAAAATTCTCTAAATCATCCATCTTTTATGGAGAGTCCTAATATAAGTAAAATCAATAATGTCCAAGTACTACACTCAGATTCTATAATAGATGATAGTCCAATGTAAAAGATAAGATACAGTATCTCTAAATTCTATTTCATTAAAGTCGAAAATAGTGCAATATAACTCTAATAAAGTCAAACTGACTATAGTCAGTATTCCTTTGAGTTTCTATAATAACCTAAGCAATCTCGAAAGCAGATTGATCTTTAAAATTTAGATGATCCAATCAAAAGAGAGTCATCTCGTGATAGAACTCATAGAAGGAAACAAAGAGCAGTATTGAATCCCATTATGACTTCTTCATTCAAATAAGGCACATCTAATATTCATAATGATATCTCAAGATCACTTGTATGTTCCTCGATTTCTAGTAGATTGTCGACTGAGAGCTATTTACTACAAAAGAATTTTAACATAGTTAGTCATTTCACAAAAGAGATGATGAATGCAAACTAAGAGCAATTGTAAAACAAGAATGAACTTATGAAATAGCTATCTCTTAAAAGTTAATTAAGCGTAATGAATAGACGCTTCTAAGATGTAAGTATGAGTTCAGTATCATATGGTGGAGATATGGATGAAAGAAACTCAAACTTGAAGTAGCTTCCAAATGTTCAATAAAAAGCAAAAACCCTTGGAGATTACTTAAAAGATAGATTATTTTAAGAATTCCTAATAGTAGGAGTTCCTTTATCATCTGAGAAAAGATCGCAAATGGATCTTGGGAAAGGGAGATTCATGGCTGATACCTTATTCATGTACTTCGAAGACAAAAAAACCGATGAAAGAAGAAGAGTGGTTAAAGATTTCTGCTTCCCTTGTGGAGTCTCAGTAACTTATTAGAGTAGTGCAGACTTTATTAGACGATAGTTAGAAAAAGACAAAAAGACTCAATAGTCTTCTTGCTTTGTTTTCAGCTTGAGTGGAACTAATCCTGAAGAGCAGTAAATATTTAGTGAGATATATTGTATTTGCATTCAATTCCACGATTTCTTTGTTGATGAAAAGTCAAATTAAATCAACTTAACTGAGAAAGCATTTTGCCTTATGTTTAACAACACTCATTTTAAAGTACAATAAAAGGTTCTTATCACTCTTAGGAATATGTACCTAGACTCAAGGATAAAAATACTAAAGGAAGTCTTTGAAAACTAATAAAACAAGGCAGCTAATAAGATAAAGCTACTAGTCCAAGAGGACAGCAAAGAACATATTAATGAAATTAATATGATACGTGAATATTTAAGAAGATATTACGATTAAAAGTTAGACACAAGTATTAGCAAGTCTTATACAATTAATTTCTCCCCTTTTAAGGATCTTAGCTTAAGGCTTGATATTAATGCAACATAGAGTATCAATGAGCAACTGACTAGATACTTTTGTATTAGACTATTTAAGAGCTTGTCGTTCTAAAAGTTTTATGATGTTTTAATGGCAACCTTGTTAGAAAGACCAATAGTAGTTGTATCCAAGAACATTTCTTTGTTATCATCATCATTGTAAGATAAATATTAATCTAATCAATATTAAGATTTGCATTAAAATCGCTATTGTATCCATTCAAGTGGTGGCATGTATTCATCTCAATACTACCCCTGAGTATCATAGAGGTTATTGAAGCACCAGTACCGATAATGATTGGACTATTAAGAGAACAATTTGAAACTTTAGATGCTGTTGAAATTGAGAATAGACTTTGGGTTCTTCTTGATTCCACTGATTAAACGCTGCAGATAAGCAACCCTATTTTGGATGAAGGAGAGAAATTCATCTATGAGCCAAACTTAAACGGATTGAAAGAAAAAATATAGCCTATCTATGAGGAATTGCTTGTTATAGGAGGTATTAAAATTCGATTTTTAATTGAACTCATATAGATATTGATTTGAATGAGTGTGAGGAAAAATGTTTGCAGATATCAAAGCTAATTTTTGAATCACTCAAGAAATCTATTATAGATCTTGGAGGAATAGTCAACTAATTGGTAAAAATACTCTCAAGTAATTCCATTTTTAGGAATAGAAAAAGCTTATTAATATTGATTTCGCAGCTCTAGAAAAATTATTACTTAAGGCCGCTCATCCAAAGGATGTAGAGTTTTTGCAGAGATTTATGAAGACCTAGATGTTTGTTTCATATTTAGAGGAAAGACTCTTAAGTTAAGGAATAATTTTGCAGTGACATTTAATTGGATTTCATTTGAAATGTGAAAATTATGTCTATAAAATGAGTTCCTCAATACCTTGTTAATCTATCTCATTAATATCTGATTTCTTAAATTTTGACTCTTATTTAACCTCTAGGGGTTTTGGGGTTTTGGGGTTTTGGGG